GTGGTGCGCCTGCAGGGAGTTCTGATGCAGTGGGGCTTCCTGGAGGGGAAGCGGCTCATCTTTGTCAGCGTTGTCCAAGAGTTTCCATCGACCCGAACGCCTATGCTCGGCGATTTGCGAATGATGCTGCTTGCCTCGCGGTTCTCACTGACGCGGAGGACTGGTTGGAGACTCGGGGCGGTTCCATCCGGCAGCTTTTTGAAGACGAGCATGTGCGGCGTAGGTTTCTCAACCGACGCGGACGTTAGTGCTATTCGTAAGCTATGTCGACTTTGGCGCGCGGGGCTCGTCGTTGACTTAGGCGAGTACCCCGGTGGGGAGGAGGGGCGGGGCACTGAGCTGCGCAGTGAATGCGATCGCCTCGCTGTCGATGGCGCGGCACGCGGCGCTGCTCTTTTGCCGCGCAGGGCCCTCGCTCTGCGAGAGATTTCCACGGGCTGCCGCGCGCGGCAGGACTTCCAGTGCATCTCAATGCGCGACCGCTCACCAGCGCCCATGCTGCTTGCCCCCCTCGCTCGCGATCGCGATGGCGCAACCCTCGTGGGTTCTCAGGCGATGAGGGGGCCGGCGGGCAACTGGCGCGCCGCCTCAACAGAAGGCGCAGGGAGCTCCGCCCGCCGCATCCGCCGCAGGGCCTCCCGCGGCACCTCCACCCGGCAAGGGCGCCAAAGGGCAACGGCCGCGGTCGGATCGCGACAAAGATTTGGGGCCCCTCGCCGACGCGGGGTTCGACAGGGAGCAATAGAACGCGGTGGCCGTCTTCTTCAAACAAGTGCTGCTCACATCCCAGACGCCCCGAGACTTGCGGTCCCTGGGAGTCGGCGCGCGGCTCTTGGGCGCAACGCCTTCGGAAGTCGAGGCAGCCCGCGGGGCGGGCCAAACGTACGGCGAGAACGCGCGGTCTCAGGGGCGGGGCCACTACAGTCAACGCGCCTAGTAAGGACGCGCGCCTTCATCTAGGGTGCCCTTGTGTCCTTGCCTCCGAGGCCCGTCCTTGCCATCATCACTGGTCGCCCACCGCCCTGAAAAACCCAACTTCGGCCTCCAAGGGTCTTGTGTCCTTATCACTCGTCCTTAATACTCCAGATTTCGTAATAAAGGGAGGGGGGTCTCATTTCGGGGGGGGTCTCTTCCGGGCTATCTTGGAGGGCATGGAGGGGTCTGGGGACGATGTTTTGGAGGGTTCTCCCACGGGGGAGGTCTGAAATGGCTTGTCTTGGAGGGTCCAGACCCCCTCCCTTTTATTACGAAATCTGGAGTACACGTTTTGACTGAAGCTCGGTCCACATCGCCTGCATATCTCCAGGGGGTTCGTCCGCAAACCTTTCTGGAGCTGTCGAACAGTCCGGGGGCCAGAACGCACGAGGAGCTGGCATCGCGGCGCAACAAACGGTTTTGCCGGGCGGGTCTCGAGGAGGCCGGGGATCAGATTCGAATATTTCGCGTCGCGAAGTGCTACGATCAGGGCAAGAATAAGGTTCATTTCAGCATCCAGATCGCGATCTTGACTGAGGTGGCGATTCCGAGTCAAGGTCTCTCTGCCTTCGGGCGCGCGTCTGCGACAGCTCTTCGTCGAAGGTCTGGGCGAGGTCGGGGCCGAACGCGTAGTCGGGGCCGCTCCTCCAGGAACCATGGGAGACATCTGCAGAATACCATCCCTGAGTGATTTCGCGCTGGATTGCGATGATGTGCGCATCCTTGCCTGGTGCTCGTTTGTTGCGGTGCTTCGCTATGGCTTGAGCTCTGACACTATGCATGTTGATTTGGTTCTGGTGACAGCTGGGTAGTTCCTGACATTTGACGCTATGCGAGTACATAGCCATTCCACTTTTCGGTGGCGCGGTAGCTCAAAAAATGCATACTGTATACACGAGTGCTTGCATAGTGGTTATTCTCTCTGGTCCTGTATTGCGATGATTTGCTACTGGTGACCTTCAGTATGTATGTTGGTGCTTCTATCCTTGGGCTATCCTCATGTTCGTGCCTGTGCTTGGGTGTTTTGTCTGATGTGTCAACTACGGAGTGTGCGTGGCATGCTGTACCACACCCCTAACCTGGAGCTTTGCGGCATCTTCTTGGGCATTGTTCCAGACTTGCGGCTGCCGCCGCTGCTGCCGCTTGTCTCTCCTCTCATCCTCCTCTCGAGTGTGATCGATCAGTCAGCTGGCAATTCGTCCATGTGCTTCCTCGTGCCCCACGCGATGGTTAAAACAAACCGACACAAGGCGCGCCCCAATGCCGCATTATTAGTATTCTTAGTATTATTAGTACTGTTAGCCATACTCGCATCCTTCGTATCTTCATGATTAGTACGACAATTACTACTTGCAGTAGTATTAGCGTCCGTTTTCGTTTCTTCTTTGTATCTGAACATTACTAGTAGTAGTAGTAGCCTTCTTATTTGTGTTCATTTATGTGTATTCGCCTTCCTGTTTTTTATCATCGTCATCTCTATCGCATGTAATCGTTGTTAGTGTTGTTATTTCAACAACAATAACAAGTATCAATAACTTCTAATTGTTGTTCATATCCGATCACCCTTACTATTACCTATGCCATCATTATTCCCCCTCCCTTTCTTGCTCCTCCCCCTCACCCCATCATCTCTCTTCGCTGCCCCCCATCCTTGTGCCGCGCTGAGTGCACGCACGGTCGTAAGTTTGATCCCAGCCCGTTCGGTATTCATTCTTTGTCCATCCTCCTCATCATCATGCTGCTGCTGCTCCTCCTCCTCCTCCTCCTTCCTTCCCTTCCCGCTTGTCCTCCCCTGCCCGGCCGCAGGATGGGTGGACGGCGACGGTCCACGGGGCCCAGGCCCTCCCCGGCGGCGTCTCGGACGCCGTGGTGGAGGTGCGCGTGTACAATGAGGAGCTTGGCCGAGGGGGTCGCGAGGCTCGAGGATCGATCGATGTTCGAGGATCGAGGACCGAGGATCGTCTGCGAGGATCGAGGTTTCCCATGCGTTCATAAGGCCGCGTAGCACCCGCCAGGTCTTAGGCTCCCCCCCCGTTGTACCTCGCTGCCTTTTTGTTGGCATGCTGGACAAGGGTCCTGGGGCAAACAGGTCGAGTTTTCCACAGCCAGAATAGTTTGTTTGACGGCCCGGAGCCCAGGAAGTGCCTCGGGAGAGATGGTGAGACAAATTTCCACTCCTCCTTCTTGTCCTCCAGACACCTTCCGGGTGTTGCCACAGGGTCCCCCAGCTGTTCATCCAGTTTGGGAGCCCCTGGGGCCCTTCAGGACTCGTGAGGTCTCTGGTGGCCATAACTATGGACTTTCGTGGACATCATGGGGGCATCTTGGGCCAGGGACACCTTTGGCAACACACGCTCAGGACACATTCTCGGCCGCCGACGCCGATGGCCGACGAACGCCGCCTCACACAGGCTCTGCCGATCCAAGCAGGCGCGCGGGGGCTCAGTAGTCCTCCGGACGTGTGTTGGCCTTGTGTGCTGCGTATTCGTCTATGGTGGCCGCACGGCCTACCGGGGAGCTGTGTCTGTCCGGCCGACCTGGAGCATCAGGAGGCGCAGCGGGCTGCTCGCAGCCGTCGCCGCGATTCCTTAAAACGACGCGAAGATCGGGACAAAGTCGGATCGGGATAACTCGAAATCTCTGAGAATCGGCGGGTTTGGAGGATGCATTGGGCGCCGCGGCCGCTCCAGAGCGTTCCGGAACGCTCTGAGAGCGCTCCGGAACGCTCTGGGAGCGATTTATCGGGGGAGCGTAAGACCCGGGTTTGCCAGGACTCGGGTTCGCCATCGTTTTTTGACGACCGCGACTCGGATTTTGACGAGGAGGAGTTTCGTGGGATGTCTGCAGCGGGAGGCCTCGTCAAAATGCAGGCTCGGCCTCGTCATTTTTTTGACGACCTCGTCGGGGATTTCCGAGTCCCCTGTACCCGGGTCTTACGCCCCCCTGAATTTATCCCAATCTTAGCCCTGTTTTTTTTCTTCAAGGCCACTCTCGTGAAGGCGACTGCCAGCCCGCTGCAGACGCGATGCAGCCAGCCTCGGGTCCAGTTTTGCCGCGCAGCTGCCTCCTCATGCCGCCGCGCTGGACCCAGTGGTGGGCCTGCCCTGCGCGCGATGTATCCCAATCCTAGCCTCGTTTTACTCTTGGCGCGAGTGGGCGCGCCAGGGGACGGCCCACGGCGGAGCGGCGGGCCTCACGAGTGCACCCGCTCGCCTGGCGCCCTGGCGGCCGACCTCTCGTGCTGGACCCCCTCTGGCGGCCGCTGCCGGCGAGGGTGCTGCGCAGCCTGGTGGCCGACGCCGGTGCTGCGCCCTGCGAGGCGGCGCCAGCCCAACTTCGACTGCACGTAAGAGCGACCCTTCGCCGGAGTGACCCTTGGTGCGGGCCCATTGGGGTCCCCGATCGCCGAACGCGAAGCGACAGTGGCGTCTTGCGCGCTTGTGCTTGGCCCCCCCGCGGCGCCCCAAAAGCCGCGCACCAAGGGTCACTCTTACCCAGGGTCACTCTTACGTGTAGCCGACAACTCCGCTCCGGTGGGCATCACTGGCGGGCGCTGTGGCAGCGGCCCGTTCCGGCGACCCCTCATCTCGAGCAGCGGCTCGCCGAGCTGGATTCCCTGCCCCCGTTCCCGGATAGGGCGCCTCGGACGGCCCACCTGTTCCAGGCGATCCTCCGGCGGAAGGCGAAGAAGAAGGCGCCCGGCCTGGACGGATGGGCAGTCGCAGAGTTTCGCCCCTTGCCCATCGGGATGTTCGAACGGACCGCGGAGCCTTTCTTCCGCATTCGTCGAGTAGGCGGGCCGCTGGCCGCAGGAGTTCCTCAGGCCCGAGGGCCTTCTCCCTGCCGAGCACGGCGACGGCGGGCCAGCGGACCGCAGGCCGACGTGGCTGCTCCACATGTCGTGCTGCGCCTGTGGCCGCAGGCGGAGCGCAGCTGATTGCGCGGAGGCGCGCGGCGTGGGGCGACGCTGAGGGCAGCGTCGGGTCCAAAGAGCTCGCGCGGGACCTCGCCCTCGAGGTCGAGGCCGCGGAGGCCTCTGGAGACGCCTTTCGCGGCGGCGCCTGGGCTGGCGCAGGACCTTCGAGAACGTCAGTCTGCAGCTTCTCGAGCGGGTGCTGACGCGAGCTGGCGTGCCCGAGTGGTTACGCGGTCCGTTCCTCGCCACCTACGCGGCTCCCCGCCGGCTGCGCGTCGATGGCGCTCTCGGTGGCCGTTGGGAGCCAACCAGCGGGATCCTCCCAGGCTGCACTCTGGCAGTTTTCGTGCTGAGCGAGCGTCTTGGTCCGGCAGTGCCAGCGCACCGGGCGAGTGCACGACGGTCTGAAGCGCCGCGTGTACGTCTACGACCCCACGCTGTGGGAGCGTGGGGACCCAGATGCCGATGCCGAGGCGGTCGCCGAGGCCCTGCGGATCACGGATTGGCGACTGCACGAGGTCAAGAGCAAGCAGTTTGCTAACCTGGCCTCGGTGCGGCGGTGTCTCCAGCAAAAGATGCCTTCGATCTCAGCCGGGACTGTAACGCGCGACCTCGGAGTCGTCGCGGTTGCTGTCAAGCGGCGCGAACACCCCGTGGCCGCGGTGCGGGTGCAGTTGGCCTGCGGTCGCTTCGCGCGCCTCCGCCGTCAGCCCGTGCACTTCCGTTGTCGGTGTCTGATGGGCGCGGCCACCGGCACGGCTGCGGGTGCTGGTGGACGCTGTCGACAGCGGTCGGCTCAGGCCCCGCTGGGTGCCCGCGCAGAAGACAGCGGCGGAGACGCGCCGCTTAGGCGTGAGCAAGCAGGATCGCCTCGACAGCGCCGCGGCCTGGCCGACGGCATCGCTGGCGCCGCTGCTGCCCGGCGAGCCCTGCCGCCAGAGACGGCGCGCGCGCGGCGCCGGCGCCGCGACGCCCGCGGAAGCGCTGGGTTGCGCAGGCCTGGGGTGAAAAAGCGGCTGCCGGCGCGTATGGTGGCGCTACTCAGACTCGGTGAACTGCGCTTCGCTAGGGGCAGCGCGGCAGATCTCGCATGTCTCGCTGCGCAGCGTCACGCGCAGCTCACGCAGGCCCCGGATAGACCGGCGCTTTGCCAGGCGCCCGCGGCTTCGCGCTGCGCCTGTTGCCCGCTCTTCAACAACCAAAACATAGGGGCCGCGCGCGGCGTCGGACGGCGCCGGTTCTCTACATTCAATTGTATTTACTGTCCCTCAGTAGCACAAAGATGCCGCCAGTCCCCTTCAATTATATCCAGTTTGCTGCAGTTGTTCCTTTGCATTCCGTCCTTTCCATTCACATCCAGTTTGCCATGTGCATGTTTGTCCCTGGTTTTCCCTTTAGTTTCCCACTATCAGTCGCACCTACTTTTCCTTTAGTTGCGTTCAGCTTTCTCTAGTGAAAAGCTGCTTCCTTCAGCTGCATTCAGCTTGTCCTCAGCTTCGTGCACTTCCACTCGTGCGCCAGCGCAGACTGCAAGATAATAAGAGAACGAAGGGAAACTGAGCGAAACAGGGGGTGCCCCGTGATGAACACTTTCCTCTTCCTCTTCTTCCTCATCCTGTTCCCAGAAAGTCAGGGAGAAACTGAGTGTAAGAGGCTCCGCCCTGTTATCAAGGGCTTTCTCTTCCTCATTCTCCTCCTCCTGTCCCATTCAGCTTTCGCCATTATATATCACTTTTCCGCTTCCCTCTTCCTCTTTCTTCCTCCTCCTCCTCCTTGGTCCTCCTGTTCCTACGGCTGCTCCCCACCTCCTCCCGCTGTTTCCTTCGTTTCATCATCTCCTTGTGTGCGCTGCTCTATTCCCAAGGGCGCCAGGGAGGGCATTCCACCAAGGCATCCACGTGTCAAGCAGGGCCGGATTTGGATGAGGATGACGATGGCAAGGACAATGACGATGATAATGATGATGGCGATGGTAATGGTGGTGGTAATGTCGTTATGACGATGTGATGACGAGAAAGATGATAATTTTACACAGCCAGTTTCATGTAGCGAATTTCCCCCTTTGCATCCCCGGCCAGCCAGGGGGAGCCTCCTCAGGCATCCGAAGGCTCTGCCCTTGATCGCTCTGTCCCAGATTGTCAATGATGATGATCACGATGATGATGATGATGATGATGATGATGATGATGATGATGATGATGATGATGATGATGATGTTGATGTTGATGGTGGTGCTGGCGAGTTTGCTGATGGCGGTGATGCTGATGAGGATGATGGTGATGATGGTGATGATGATGATGATGATGGTGACGATGCCAATGATGGTGGTGAAGATGTCGATGAGAGCGGTGCCGGCAACGACGATGACGACGATGACAATGACGATGACACTGACGACGATGACCATGATACCAAATATGTTGATGATGAACACGAGGATGAATGTGAAGGAAAGGGTGACGTGACGACGAGGATGATGATGCTCGCAGTACGAGCCCGTGGCATAGATGCTCAGGTAGGTGCATGATTTTGCACGCCGCGCCAAGCAAGTAGGACTCATTATAGCTGGCGAGAGTGGAAACAGAGGATGACGATGAAACGACCTGGCGGAAAGGAGGGAGGGAAGGAAGGAGGAAGCACGGAGGGGGGTTGACCCACCGAGGCAGAATGATGAGGGGAGGGGGCGGTGGAAGGATGTCAGGAGTGCAGGATGACGACGACGGCGATGATGATGACGATGACAATGATAACCATTCTGATCATGATGCTGATCATGAGGATGATAATGATGATGATGCTGCTGATGATGATGATGCTAACCCACGGATTCGACGCGCGGTTTCTTTCCAATTCCCGGTGATGATGTTTATGATGCTGATAAAGTTGATGATGATGATGATGGTGATGATGATGATGATGATGATGATGATGCTGATGCTGATGCTGATGCTGGTACTGGTGCTGATAGTGATACTGA